TATATATATATATATATATATATATTTAGGTGTTTTTACTGTTTTACTGTTTTTTGTTTGTTTTTAATTTTGTACAGCACTTCGAACAGCTGCTTGTTGTATTTTAAGTGCTTTAGAAATAAATTGGTATGGTATGGTAATTACTAATTATTGTCAAATTTCAAACAATATTATCGTTTATCACGATAATTTTTGAGACAATTAATCGCCCAGCAAAATCTGTTATCGTGACAGGCCTAGTTGTAGATGTACATCCAAACGCATCAAGCGTCCTGTCAGTGACCGGGCACTATAATCCAAAGACAAAACATGACTTTTCTCTGAACGTCGCCCCGATCTGATGTTGTTTTCCAGATAAGGGTCGGAACAGCATGGTGTCCACAGAGAGCGCCTCCTCCACCTACGAGGAGCTGGCCAGAGCCTATGAGCACGCCAAGCTGGAGGAGCACCTGCAGCACGCCAAGTTCACCATCACAGAGTGCTTCATCTCCGACAGCTCCTCCGACCAGATGACCACAGGCACCAACGACCCGGCAGAAAGCATGACCTCCCTCAGCACGCCGTCCGAACCGGGAATCTGCCGCTTCACCGCCTCGCCACCCAAACCACAAGACTACGACCGGGGGAAAAATGTGGCTGTGCCCATCCCCCACCGAGCTAACAAAAGTAAGTAGAGACACACGAGAACGTTTCAGCTCCTTCTGATAAGAAAAACCTTTTTGATTTGCTCTCTTTCCCCTTTACATCCATCACCACAGGTACATTTCTTAAACTCCCTGTTTTCTGCTGTTTGTTCTGCTTGTCAGCTGAAGGTTTCCTCACACATTTAGATGGCAGTCAAACCAAAATTAGCTGTGAATTGAAAAAGCTTTTAAAACAGCCCAAAAATAACTTTTTGAAATAAAGAATATATAGAATGCAATTTTTTTTAAAAAACACCACAATGGAGTGCTTGCAAGTGTGCTGAACCGTAGAGCAAAATATTTTTATTTGCATTTATTTTGTTGAATAATTTGAGTTGTATGTGACTCATCTTTAGTTCACTCTGATTGTTCCCTGTCGCAGAGCGGAGAGGGGAATTGGGAATATCCTCCATCCCTTTCAAAACTGGACTGGCTCAGCAAAATCCAAGATGGCCACCACCATATGTAAACCAGCCACTACTATAATTTTAGGAACCTATGCGTTCTAGTTTTTATAATGCTTATAAGTATCTTTTTTTTAATGATTGGGGTGGCGTAGGATTATTTTATAGGGGCCAAGACCACCGTTGGCCACCTCTTGGCTCCACCATTGCATCTGGTGGTGCATGAAATTGTCCCTCTGCTCACCAGGATCCATCACTCTGCATTGCCTGAGACAATCAAAATAAATACAGTAGTCCCTCATTTATTGTGGGGGGGTTACATTCCAGACCCCCCAGCAATAAGTGAAAATCCACAAAGTAGCAACATAATATTTATTTTAGTATTTACGGTATATATATTTTAAGGCTTTATAAACTCTTCCCACAATCCTACAATGTTCTAAACTCCAGTACAGTGGCTTCTGGGAAATGAAGTCCCGTTGAGTGGCGATAACAGTATAGCGTTCCTACTTTGGGTTTGCGTTCCTACGCTTATCGAAAGAAAACTACAAAATGGTGGCACCTGTTCAAATTTATTTATTTATTTTTAAAAATATTTTCCCAACCACGTGAGTACAGTAACATTACTGAAGGTTGACAATTGTGTGTCGTGCACAGTACTGCTCTGCGCAATTTTTATTGCTTGTTTTATTTATTTATTTATTTATTTAGTGGACATAGAGCGAGTCCGCGAAAGTCGAACCATGAAGTAGCCAGGGACTACTGTACCTCTGTTCTTATCCACAATGCAACTTCTACCAACTTGAATATGTTGTACCAAAAATCATTAAGGTTTACCTGCATCCCCTGTTCAATTCCAGACAGAAAAACACTCATCTGGAAAACAAAAACATTCACTACTGAATGGGGGATGGGGGACATCGGTATACCACATGTTTAATCTGATAGGATTTGAAGAAGCGAGATGTCAGTTTTACTGTAGATATTTGTTTTCTTACCATACTTAAAGAACAATGTAAAAACAATCAAGCTGAGCCTGAAGTCACTTTAAATTTCATTTATAAATTGATGTTCTGTCAACATCAGTCTTAAAGTCACATTTGCAGAGCAACATGGACATAATTTGGCTGAAAAAACGGCGCCTTACAAAAGTGTAGAGGTCTGACATTATCTAATGTGGTGTCCTTTCACAGTGATAATGTTTACCTGGTTATGCTGTGCCTGTTGAATTACGCTGGTGTTTCCAGACCTACGATTGTAATTACAGTAGTCCCTTGATTATCGTGGGGCTTACATTCCAGACACCACTGTGATAGGTGAAAAATGCAAAGTAGGAACGCTTTATTTATTTTAGTATTTATATTTATATTAAGGCTTTATAAACCCTTCCCACACTCTTGCAATGTTCTTAACAATGTTCTGAATTCTTAAACCTATGTAATTTTAACAACATATGTATATGTACTGTACAGTACTGCAAAATTTTATATGGGTACTCACCGGTGAAGATACTACTACAACTTGAAGGATGAGTTCAGCTTCAGGGTTATTTGCGACTTTCCTGCCAGTTCTGAGCTTAATAGATAGATCGTTACTTCTGACTTTGTACTGCAAAACTATTTTTACCACATCGGTTTCTCCACTAGTGTTTCCTTCCATTGATGTTCTTTAAATTTCGACAGAAAGCAGCTGCCGAAAGCACTGTTGACTTGTGGGCCGTGTAGTTCTTTTGACTGGTGTTACAGTATAGGCTTATTGAAAGAAATTTACAAAATGGCGGCGCCTGTCCAAAGTTTTTTTTGTTTGTTTGTTTTTGTTTTTGTCCTATTGGTTGGTTCCTGCTTCTGTCCACTCCCGTTAACTTTTTATCCTAATCACGTGAGTAATATTAAAGTTGACCATCATGTGTGGCTGAGTGATTAGAGCAGTCGTCCTTCAATGTAAGAGTTGGGGGTTCGAACCCCACAGCAGTCACATGCCGAAGTGTCCTTGGGCAAGACAATGAACCCCTTGTTGCCTCTGATGTGTGTGCCATCGGTGTATGAATGTGATCTAAAGCACTGTAATTTGGCATTTCCATGCACCAAAAGACAGAATTTGTTTTAATCAAATCAAATATATATACATATTTTTTTTTTTTTTTTTTTTTTTTTTTAAGCAGCAATATAAAACTTCTCAGGCATGAAAACAGTCTCATCAAAAATGGTGACTACTTGAATGCTTGTTTGGACCTAGGATGTGGTTGGGTTGCTTCTACATCCTGAAAAAGGGTGAGCAGCTCAAACAGCACTCTGCTATCTGCCACTGTTACTGTTGTTCATCTACTCAGAAAAACTATTGTCTGCAGCCGTTTATAATGTGAACGAGTGCTTGACGTGTACAGGAACAGCCAAAACACAGCAGTCAAGTTGTGGTTTCCCTCAAAAATGGCGTCATTTAAACAGCCTTAGAAGGCAGCATGATCTAACATCCAACTATGAACAGATATGTACTTGTCCTGCCCATAACTTCTGAATTGAATTCTGAATTAATCTTCATATGCACATGCATCATCACTAGACGGAATGTCACACACACACTTATCACTCCAGATCCAAGGTGAAGGTTACAGATCAAGGTCAAAGTTAAAACACGGTGTTTGCTTGTTTAGGGAGTTGCTATGTTTAACTGTATTGCTGTTTAATAGTTTGTCGACGGACGTTTTTGTGCCGCATGTGGCACTCTTGTTTGACTAACTGAGTTGATCGTCTCATTCATAGTAACACAGTTTGTACTTTAAGGGGATAGTGAAGCCAGATAGCCAATAGAAAATTTGAGTATGTTTAAACTGCTCTATAGTTCAAGACCCTTCTTAGATAAACTATATAAACTATATGGAGCAATTCTTGGACAGAATGCAGGTGAGTGAAAAGTAACAGGTATGACAAAGTGAGATAAAGAACATTTAACGGGAACAGAGGACATCTAAGGGCATTGACAGGTAACCCAGAAATGATCTAAAGACGATATAAAAAGATTTTGTAACACAGGAAGAAATAAAAAAGAACCAAAACCCATTAAATCAAACCGATCCAAGTGTAGTTTGTTGTCCTCTCATCACAGAGCGAAGAGGGGAAATGGAAATACCTCCCGTCTTTTCGTCCATGCATGTTGTGAGCATGATAACTTGAAAGTAAGTGGGGTACTGACTTCCATTTTGGTGTGTGGCTGCATCTAGGCTTAAGAAAGGTCACCATTGCAAACTGGGTTGCTTCATCAAAATCCAAGATGGCCGCCACCATATATTTACATAAACCAGCCACCACTATCCTTTGAGGAAACATCTTTCTAGTTTTTATATTGCTTAAAAGTATAGTTTCCTCAAATGATTGGGGTGGCAGAAGATTAATTTATGGTGGCCAAGGCCACCACTGGCCACCCCCTGGGTCCACCACTGCTCCTGTAGTTAAAATGGCTCCCTCCACTCGCCAGGATCTGTCACTCTGCGCTGTCTGGAACAAGCAATAACAAAAAATGCAAACCCACCTCTATTCTTCTCCACAGTAACTCCTACACACGTGAATATAAAGCACCAAAAACATCAAGGTTTGTTTACATCCCCAGTTCATTTCTAGTCCAGAAAAAAAAAAAAAAAAACACATTTAGAAAACTACAAAACATTCAGTATTCAAATCCCTCAGCGACGGGGGACGTCGACATGCTCCTTTATATCAGAACAACACATTCATGTCTTGACTCTTGGTTTTCTCGTTATAGGTGAGTTCTGCAATCTACCGCTCTATATGAAGACAGACCCATTCTTCCGTAAGCAAGGGGACCTTCATGACCCGTGCCCAGCTGTACCACCGAGGGAAGCCTCAATCCGCAGCCTGACGCAGCGGCCGTATCACACACAGGGCCGTCACAAGACTCTCGACCCCACCAAGCAGCAGGCCCTGACGCTGGGCCATTCTGGGCTGGGCAGCCTGGGTGCGAGCTCGGGCACCGCCACCCTGCCCCAGAGGACTCTCACCATGCCCAGCTCTAACAATGCAGCAACAGCTTCCACGTCCAGCACGAGCAGCAACCCCCCCAGCAGCAACAAGGTGGGAGGCTCCAGAGACTCGCTGCTAGAGAGCAGCTCCTCTGCTCTGGGAAGACTGCAGAAACAGAGTGTGGGGGCCTACTCCAAGTCTTACACACTGGTGTAGTCCAGCCCCGCCTGCACAGACTCGCTTCGCTGTCCCGCTCCTCAGCCAGCACCACTCTCTGGTACTCATCTACAGCTGGGCCAGAATGGCCATGCAGCCATCTTTCTTTAAACCAAACTTACGGTGGACTGCCCAGCTTCCTGTCGTATTTTCTTCAGCAAGAGGGATCCACTCACCCCCACCCTCCCTACCCCCCTCCCAGACAGAGACCCAGCTAACTCTACTTTTCACGTTCACACAAACGAACTACTAACTTCAACTAACAGTTCCAGCCGGCTGGTGCTCAGCTCCACTCGATTCCTGCAGGAGACACAGCAGAAATATTTAAAAAGAATGTGATTTCTGTGTTTAGAAATATTGGCTGCAACCGAAGAGCTTCTAAAGCTCTGTGCTCATGACGATAAAGACTATAAGAGCCAGTATGAAGCTGTGTGGCCATCTCACCTCTCATAAACACATATACACCTACAATTACCGTCCTCCATAGTTGTTGTTTATTTTGCCAGTTTGCAAGACTTCCAGTTAAGTTCCTCGTTTCTCTCGCCCTCTTTGTGTCTCTTGAAGTCCCAAATCTTTATTGGCAGATGTAATTTCCAAAGTAATGATTCAGGTTCACTTCCACGGTCGGTGAATTTCCACATAGACACTGTCCACTCATCTCTGCGCAGCTAAACTCTTTAAATCAAACCATTTCAACCCCAACGAACCAGCTGTAACTTCTCACATCGCCATTAGAGAATATTTGGTATTATAAAGAATTTTACATATATATTTCTATGTAGGTATATTATTGACATTTAAGTAAAAAAAAAAAAAAATATGACAAAGTATAAATTGTACGTGCTACGACAACATGGTGGTATGTACAGCAGTTTAATATTATGGTCAGATCTTAATAACGAGACAATCGCTCAATCGTTAAATTTTAAAAAAAGAAGAGAAATTTAAAAGAGGCTGAACTTAAGAAAGCTTAAATGTTTAATATATATGTGAGATATTCTGTATATTACTGTAAATTGTCCAGCTTGGAGAGGAGGAGCTGGATTAGAGGATTATGCCATCCCTGGGCTGTGACGTCTTCTTGGTTGTGTGTTCGATGGGAACAATCAGAACACGAGGCCTTCGAAGGGACTAACCTAGATCGAATCTACTCGACTGTAACTTTTCTTTTTGCCAACCCTGCAGATAAAAGAATCAGTTTAGGTCTTTTAATGTCAGATTCTATGTAAAGGTTATCAACAATAACTATCTTATCTGTTGTAGATAGCTCTTTGAACAACTTAAGTTTGGAGAAATGGATTGATGAACTGAAGGCCCCACATACTCGGGCGTACTTCACTCCACGGAGGTCCGTGCGTACTCGAGGTGGACTCAACGCGGTCTCGAGGCGGACGTCCGCCAGCCATGTCCACGCAAAGATAAAGTTTTACGACCACGTATGCGTACTCGTGTCGCACAATAAACTGCCCGGCGACGGTGTTCACGTCGAACTGTTTTGTTTGCGACACCAACCGCTCTGTTTTGAGCAACCGGTCGCAAGGATGCACAGCGTGACAGGTGTGCAGTGGCTGCCCTGGTGGTGAAGAAATGGGGCTAAGCGCCCAACTAGCTCATCGAACTTGCTAGAATCCATTGGAAAATATTCAAAATGCTTCTCGCTCCATTGTCTTCATGTCCGATCCCCCTTCTTCATCCCTGGTCTTGTTTTTTTTTACCAAGGGTCAAGCGATCTCTTCCTCCTCATCAGTTGACGCCATGACTGAAATCGTGAGAAATGAAGGAATTTGTCACAAGAGAATTAAAATCTGTACGCTCCTCAAGTATGACGTCTCAACCGTCTGCGGACAGTACACGGAGTACGCACAGTACGCCCGAGTATGTGGGGGCCTTAACTGCTCAGAGCGGGGACTCATCACAAACGGATTGCTGCTGTTTTAAAACAACAGCAATCTCAAATGTTTTATGGCGTTTAAAAAAAATGCTATTTCGTGAACATTTTCACGCACGTCAGTTGTGTTGCGTTCCATTTATCTAAGAGGTCAGAACTGGATATAGGGATGCCGTCAGACCTGACTTCACTGTGTTCAGTCACACCTTGAAAAAGCCGTAGGAGCTCCTCATTGTTGTGTTAACCACGCTAACTAGCATTAGCAGTGCAAGTCAGTAATAGTGGGTTTCTGTGCGTTAAAACATTGTAGCAACATGTTCACTCGTAGAAGTTAGTCATTATTGCGTGTTTGACTGGATTACTAAAATACAAACCAACAGAAGTTGTAATAAATGTTTGTTGCTACAACTGGTTTTGAGCAAGGCAGCCATATTAGATTTTGAGGTCACGCCTGGTCGGGAAGCTCCAACTTTTTGGAGTAGAAATTCTGACTTTCAGAGTTGTTCAAGTTGATTTTAACTGACTTAGAGCTCAAAATATGCAATAGTAAATATAACATGGCTTTGTTCCTGCAGGAAGTGCACCGGAAATGCTACAGCTAGTTGCTGCCATTTGCGCTACTTTTGCAATTCCATGTAATTATGTAATGGTGGTAATATCAAAGTTAATTATTTTAAACTGCTAAGAATTATTTGGTTATTTTTGTGATTTTAAGACAGCAACGATACACTTAATTCTTTGTCTTGCTCTGACTAGCCATTAGCTTGTACTCTAGTCAAAAATTTAACTAAATTAGAGCTATCTACAACAGATAAGATATTAACTGTTCACTTTTTCTTGAAACAAAATATGAACAGTTGTTTTAAACCAGTACCAAAACATTTTGAGACAAATCAGTGTCTCATTAGATCTTTAAAATGTGTTTCCTGTCCCAGACTTCAGTTCTTCTACAGCGTGAAGGCCTCGGTTTTTGACCGTCACAGATGTGGTTTTGCTTCTTCGTCAGCTGTGACGCTCAGCCAATCAAAAGCTGAACAAATGCCAAGTCGCGGTGTGAGCGAAGTGAAGTCATTTCAGTCGAGATGTTTTATGTCAGGGAGTTCAGTTTAGAAATTTCTACGACGTTCACAGAATTGATATCTTTGATGTTGTCCTGTCTGAAGTACTGTAAAAAAAAAAAAAAAAAGTTCATTTTTATTCCCACTCCTTTTTTTTTGGCGCTATTGTACATGGACACGAGAACCTATTGAAATGCCTTTTTTAAAGCATTTCTATTATAGTGTTTTGTGGTTTTAGTTAATTTATTCATTTGCTCTGTTTGTTTGTTTAGGAGAGGGGGAATCTGTTGATTTGTAATGTTCACATTATGTGTGGAACTTTGTCCAAATTCTGGTTTCAGGGGTTTAAGAGTGCAAGTCTTTTTGACCTGTGTGGTTCAGCCAAGTAAAATCAGGGACTCGCAGCTCTTTTGTTCATACAAAATACTACTGTACTGTGTATATACTGGACTGAAGTCGGTCTGTAAACCTGAATCATTTAGGCTTTTGTCATTTCCCCCACTGATTGAAGTACAAATTCACTGCCCTTATCATGCTCCATCATCTTTGTCAGTGCTGTTTTTAAATTGAGTCTTGTACATACAACAGATTTTGTATGAAGAGCTATTTTCTTCAGAATAAATCAGGGGACACATCAAGCATTAAATGCCCCACTTTCAAATCTGAAATAGTATCAAAAGTAAGACGTTTTATTTCGAAAGAGGAAAAAAAAGAAACATTCGTTCTTTGTCCCTTTGTTTTTGATACCAATTTGTTGGATTTTTATTTTCTTTTTTAAGAAAAAGTCTTTTGATGTTGTCATTTGTCCTCAATACTTTTTTTATTACTATTATTTTGTATTTTGTTCATCCTCAGAAAAGTCATTGCATGCTTGCTAAAAGGGAAAAATTGATGGGGAAAAAAATGTGTGAAAATCAAAACGTAAAAAAAAAAATGTTGAGGGTATCCCGAACATTTCTTTGAGTTGCTTGTTACAGCAATTGCTTGTGTTCAAAGGTACATTTTCTATGAAAAGAAAGCAAAAACTAAAAAGATCATTCTAACACCTTGTGCAATAAAGCTATCTTTCATACGTCACGGCTTCTGTCATTTTCCACAGATTTATTTTGGTCTCAACTAAACGGAGACGAAACCAACTTGTTAATATTTATGAATGGATCAGATAAGATTGAAGAGGAAAAATCACTCAAATTTTGTGTTTGAATAATTTAATTTAGTTTCAATTCAGTGTATTTATATAGCACCAAGTCCCAACAGAAGTCATCTCAGGGCACTGAACAGAAACATTCACATACATTATAAAAACCAATTAATAAAAATTATCTATCAAAGGAAGCCAGCAGATTGTGGTAAATCTTCACTTTGTCGCAGTCTCCCATCCTGAACAAGCACAAAGGCGACAGTGGAAAGAAAAAACTTAACAGGAAGAAACCTCCAGCAGAGCCAGGCTCAGGACGAGCGGCCATCTGCTTCGACTGGCTGAGGTTTGAGAGGACGGGAAGGAGAAACGAACAGAATACCAGGTCCAGGTGTACTTTCTATTGAAGAGAAGACAAAAAATCATCTTAAGGATAGAAGTAATTACAAATAAAAACAGGTAGAGCAAGTAAATACAGCAGCAGAATGAGGACATGAGTTCTAAGCCTAAAGCATCATAATTAAACTAAGGGATCACTTAGGAAACCCAAGCCAACTACTGTATAAGATTTATCAAAAAGTACCATCGCTTCCAGACTATTGAGCACAATTTAATATAAGCCATACCTACTAAACTAAAAATTGTGCATATATAGGACGCACTTGTCTATAAGCCACGGGTATATAAATGTTTACACAGAAAGAATTATAACACTTTTAATTAAACACTGTAGCATGGCAGCACGCAGCTACTGAGAGAGATGTACAGTTCGTCATAGATCAAGAATCAACCACCAGCTGGTGATTTATAGACTTTATCTGTTCATCACACACAGAGACAGGAGTGAAGCCCACAGGTCTTCATGACACCTCCCTCACTCATGGTTCCTCTAGTGGATGACCTAACACATAAACTAGGCTATCAAGAACAGACTGATCACTAAAAGAACAATGCTAAACAGCTAAATGAAATGATTAACAATGACCATCAACTCATAATCCCTCCTTGAGGCCATGATGGGACTGACAGTCAACCACAGCAGAATGCTACAATACGTACTGGTAACACACAAAAACACCCAGTAAATGTTTTCTTCTGAACAGTGTTTGTAACACGGCTGGTAAAAATACAAACTAAAATACAGTAGCCTGCCAGGAAGTCATTGATCTCCATCTTTCTCCTGCGCACTGCGCCCCCCTCCCTGGGGGAAAGGAGGAAAATGTGGGGGGGGGGGGACAAAGTTTCCACCCCTTCGCAGTAGACCATTGAAACAAAGTTTCATTAGTCCACTGTAACCTGTTCTGTAATTT